TTTTTTAACAACTCGGGCACATTTTAGAATTCTATTACAATCTATGTTTATTCAGAATCAACCTAGGTGGATTCTAAATCTGCAATAATTCCATTCCGACGTACGACATATATAAAAAAGCCTAATTTGTTAAGACTATATGGCCATTATTTATTCTAATTAGAGGGCTACAAAGAAAATATTTGAAAATTTTATCAAATAAGATTTCTAGATTTTTCTTTATAGCACTCGCTTATATTTACAGAATATATATATATGTTATTTAAATAAAACTAATGCATCTCTCTAGCTTTTAAATTTGATTTAGTATAATATCAGCATATAATAAATTTAAAGGCTAATTCTATTAAATCATATTTATTATTCGATTCTAATTATTAAAAAAGGCATAGACTTAATGAAAACGGAAATATTCTAAGATTCTGAATTACCTATTAATCATATTTTCAATTAATGCCTTGTATATACAGTCGTTCTTCTCTATAATCACGCTTTTTACTTACATAAAAAAGATATAATTAAAGTCATCCTTCTTTATAACCACGCTGTTTGCTTTACATAAAAAATATGAAATTACAGTAGTTGTATATCAAAATCCCGACACACAAAATCAAAATCCCGGCAACAAAATCCCGATACACAAAATCCTGACAAATTAAAATCCTGATTTAATATTGTTAGGATTTTAATTTGTCAGGATTTTGTGTATTGGGATTTTGTTGTCGGGATTTTGTGTGTCAGGATTCTGATATACATTCGATTACAGTTGTCCTCCTCTATAATCATACTGTTTGCTTTACATAAAAAAGATGTGATTAGAAAATTTTAATAATAATGTTCAAAAAATGATACTTATATAGAGGGTTGATTATATAGGAAGGAGGATGACTGTAGAAAATTTTAATAATAATGTGATTATATAGAATTTATAATAAATTTATTGTCATTAATTTTCAAAAAATGGTGCTTATATAGAGGTGTGATTATATAGAAGGTGACTGTAGAGGATGACTGTATACGGTTATAATAAAAGGTTAACAATATTAGGTAATCCCTATTTATAGCCATGCTAAAATTTATCTGAATATTGCAAAAATTCATTTTAAATTTCCAAGAAAGTTTAGGCTCCTCCTAAAGTTAAGTAAATTGGATTTTATGTATAATACAATTTTTTTTTGATTTTTTTAATTTATTTAATAGTTCTATTCTATGACCAGCATATTTAAAACCATTTATTGCTTATTAATCATTCTAAATATACTGTATGTGTTAACAGAATTATTCACTATATACATATTAGAAAGGGTATAAAAAAAAAAATTCACAATAATTAATCTAAATTTTAAAATTAAATAAAATTTAAAACTAAATTAAATCAAAGACATAGTGCATCGTATTTTAAATTTTTAACAACATTTTTAATAATTAGCTAGAGCAATCCTCCGGGAGACTAGTTATCTGACCAGATATGTTGTACTTTGATCAATTTATTTATTTTTTAAAATTTTATAAAATGTCTCACTGGACACTTGACATGCACCGGATATTACAATGGACAATTTGGAAATGTCCAGCATCCAGTGAAAAAGCACTGGATATATAGCTTACCCAACCCTGGTATAAACATATATTTATACTGTATTTCAAAAAAAAGAAATTTCAACAATGAAATTACTGAAATTTTCTTTTTTGTTTGTCGGCTAAAGCGGAGTTGGAGTTATGGTTACCTTTTTAATGCAGGGTGCTCTCAAATGAATATATCAGTGCTCAATTTTAACTAGTGGAAAGTTTAGCAGTCAAGCGAGTCCATTATTGCAATGAAAAAAAAAGTTGGTTTTTTTTTCATATAATTTGTGTAATTGGTTAAAATTTAATATCCGCATTTTCGTAATATGAATCCTCGGCAAATTACCGTACGGATGGGATATGTCAAAATCCTGAACTTCAATTGTCGAGTCGCGTGATGCCGGGTTCCAGTATTTAAATCCTGCTCATGATTGGTAGACATTGTTACTAATAAGCGGGTATGAATATTGGAACCCCGACATCACGCGGCGCGACAATTAAATTTCAGGATTTTGACTTTCGGGATTTTGACATAGACCCATAAGGATTTACTTCAATTATCGTAGTATTTGTGCATCACTAGTCAGCAAAATGAGAGAAAAGCCCGAGAGCACCAGTAATTATGTAGGGTTTTATGTATAAAGATCAATTTATACTATATGTAGAGAATTTACAATGTCGTGTGAAAACGGAGATTCTGTAGATTTAAAGAATCGAACCAATTTCAAATAAATATGAACATAACTGATCAAAAATATGAAATAATAGGCAATCTAGAATCTCGGGGTCATATCTTTTTGCAAAAGGCTATAATCTTCCTGCATCATTAATGTTTCAGCGAAAGTTCACTTAGCTGTAGGCATATATTTTTAATAAATTGTCACCTGGCGTGATGTCGTTAAGTGAAATGGTTGTCGGTAGATTCTTATATATTGAAGTAATTCTTCTGCATGTTCATTTCTCACTTTACTTGTGCCATGATGCTGGTACATTAGACACTGTTTGAACTTCAAAAAAAAAATCACTTACACAAATGTATTTTGTGCAACTTTTTTAAAAGCTTGCACACACACTTAAGAGATTTTTTAAAAATCTAAAAAAATTAAAAAAAAAACACTTGCACATGTGCATCTTGTGCAAGCCAATTTTAAACCCTGATTAGGCATGTTTCAATTTTCCAATTATCGCCATACCCTATAAGAAAATTGTACCGGTTCGGCACGGGTTTGTTTCGGATAGGCACGGGTCTTTGTGGCACGGGTCAAGATACGGATTTGTACGGGTATGGCCTGAGTTGGTACGGATTCGGTGGACCGTGTGAGACCGTATGGCCGTGCCAATTGAACCGTAAGTGACTCGGATTTTGCAGCAGTTTACTAGTCGAATCGCACAGACAAAGATACGGAAATTCACGTACCACCGCAATAACAAGTGCAAACATGTGAATCAAAGATTAAAACATAAAATTTATACTAGTAGTCAATATAATATGAACAAACTAACTAAATATGGAGTAAAATTTTGTAAAGAGTTTTTTTGTTAAGATACTCAGAGCAGCTTCATAGGTGAAATTGAGATATTGCACTTTTTTTTTTAAAAAAAATCATTTATTGATCTTTCGCTCTCTGCGAAACGAACCAACACGTATCACGAGCCAACACGTGTGCAGCGTACACGTAAGTGCCATCTAAACGTGCCATTCCGTATGACATGATATAACGTACCACCCCTTGCCGTAATATCCGTGCCATTTTTTACCGTGCCATTCCGTAAAACGTGCCATTTCATGCATTCCAGAAACCAACTCTTTTCTTATAGGATAGCGATGTATTGCTATTAGTGATGAATCTTCCCAATGATTGCCGTAGCTAGTTACGACTAGGGATGTGTTCAACTACGAACGGCTACGATTATTCATAGCCAATTTGCTAAATACTGAGATGATTTTTTGTTCTTGAGATTTTAATTAAAGTTGTTCAGAACTAAATTCTACTCATTCCATCTTATAAGTAGGAAGAACGATATCTTCTCTGGAACTCGGAATTTTAAGATTTGTTAACGTCATAGCCGACTATTAGCCGGCGGCTAGTAGCCGGCTATGACGTTAACAAATCTTAAAATTCCGAGTTCCAGAGAAGATATCGTTCTTTCTACTTATAAGATGGAATGAGTAGAATTTAGTTCTGAGCAATTTAATTAAAATCTCAACAAAAAATCATCTCAGTATTTAGCAAATTGGCTATGAATAATCGTAGCTGTTCGTAGTCGAACCCATCCCTAGTTACGACATAAGTTTTAGCTAACTACGGCTTAAGCCGTAACATCATCGGAACGATTTTACCACATCGCTAATCGTTACCCCTGAAACTTATGATTAATAATATATTACTAAACATAAGTAATACTTAATATTGGAACTCAGCAACAATTAAGTTTCAGTTTCGGAATTTTAACTTTTGGGATTTTATTCCCAGAATTTTGACATAAGCCTGAATAGTGATACATTGCTATAGCGATAAATTACAAAGCCCTTTTTTTAATTTTTATATTATTTTCTTTTTATTGAAAAACCATTGACCGATAACCTTGCTCATTCATTATAAGCTCAATTTAGGGATAGGATCGGCTTATAATAAGCCGGCTCAGCCACGGCTTTTGAGCCAAGCCGTCAAGCCGGCGAGACACCTGAAGAAAGGGGAACCCTGTGATTATCACATCACGTGAAATCATGCAATTACGTTTGTGTACAAGTGTACTAGCACTAAACAAATTAGCCTAAACTACATATCACCTAACCCTAACACTAACCCTAACGTAGGCCGATCACATAATCATGTGAAGTGATTAGTATGAAGATATCACTTGGTTCCTTGATCTTCAATCTTCCCAAGCCGGCTTGAGTATTTATCACATGATAAATTCTATTTAACCACTTCTATTCGCAATTGTCACACGCAGGTTCGGTTTTGTCACACACATTTACAATAGTTATGTGACAAATTCGATTTTGTCTAATTATACATGAGGTCTCGAGTCGGCTGGCTCGGCTTTTTGAGCCAAGCTGAGCCGGATCAAGCCGATGCAACTCAATAAATGCCAAGTGGCTTTTAAAAAATTTTGCCTTTATAAAAAATTGATTCATTTTAAATTTATATTATTTTATTGCCTAGTATAGACTTTTGGCATTATTTTTTATATTGCAACACAAGTCATAAACTTATTCGATTTATTTAGCTTTAAAATTGACGTATTTTACAGATTTATGATTTGATTTTATTTTTTTTGGCACTATTTTATGACTCAATTTAATAATAAATCGTAGATTAAAATAATTACGCATATTTATTATATAAACTGGAATAATTTACCGTTATTCTGTTATATAAAAAGAGTTACTATTTAAACCGAATATCCAACCAAAAATTTCTTTTATAATGATATTTGGAAAATCAAATCCTGCACCTCCTCGTCTGAACAATAAAATACCCGAGACAAAAGCAAACTTATTTTCAGAACTTACCTTTTGGTGGATTAACGATTTAATGAGCTTAGGTTATAAACGTCCTTTGGAAAAAGATGATCTATTTGTTTTGAATGACACAAGAACTGCTAAAATTGTTACAGATAAATTTGAAGCAGAATGGAGAAAAGAAGTTGAAAAAATTGCGTTAGGAAAGAAACCATCTTTAATAAAAGCTCTATATAGAGTTTTGTGGGGTAGATTTTGCTTGGCGGGTATAGTTAGATTTTTTAGTGATATATTAGCAACTATTTCACCTTTGATTTTAAGGGTATGTTTCACGTGCACTTGTATTTTCACGTATGATTCTTGATAACAATCAATCTCTCTCTCAATATTCTGATATTATCGATACTGTAGTTGATATTGAAATTTATATCTGATGCATACTTTGCCAACCTTAATAACGGTGTGCAACCACCTAAATATGTTGGCTATGTATTAATCGTTGTCATGTTCTTAGTGGAGATGGTTTCTATGTTTTTGTTTAGCTTATACTTTTATTATGTAATGGAAACCGGTTTCCTCTCTCGTACTATCCTCATAACTGCTATCTATCGGAAAGCTTTAGTTTTAAGTGGAAAGGCTAGAAGCTTATTTACTAATGGAAAGATCACTAATCTAATGTCTACTGATACTACACGTATAGACTTTGTGTGTGGTTACTTTCATATGATTTGGGCCGCTCCTGTTCAAATTTGTATAATATTGAGTTTGTTAATATTTAATATTGGGTCATCAGCATTAGCTGGTTTTGCTTTATTGGTGATATTGTTCCCTATGCAAGGGAAGGTTATGTCATTATTGGCACGTACTAGGGCTAAAGCCGCTGGTATTGCTGATGAACGAGTAAAATTGACACAAGAAATTTTGTTAGGGATTAGAGTGATTAAATATTATGCTTGGGAAGATAGTTTTGCAGATGCTCTTAATAAATTAAGAAATAAAGAGATTAGTTTGGTTGGATTTTTGTTAACTATTAGAGCTGCCATTACAGGTATTTCAATGGTAATTATTTTTTATTTGCTATGTTTGATCATATCTTTGCATATTATTTTATTTCTCATCTCTTTATCTCTTAGGTCTTTCCAATATTTGCTAGTATCCTAGCGTTTATAACGTTTTCATTGACAGGAGGAAACCTTGATGTCGATATCGTATTCTCTTCTTTAGCATTATTCAACCTTTTCCGAATACCTTTAATATTCCTGCCAGTAGCTATAGCTTCTATTAGTGATGCCTATGTATCAATTAATCGTATAAATGATTTTTTGCAGGCTGATGAGTTATCAGTTTTACCGGGAATCAATCCGGACGAACAATATGCTATTAAAGTTACTGATGGTGAATTTATCTGGGAAAGTGCTACACCAGAAGAAGTTACTGATGATTCAAAAAAAGAAAGGAAAAAAGAAAAAAGGTCAGAAAATCATAAAAAAAGTGATAAAAGTGAAAATGATTCTTCATCTACTATTAGTAACGAAAAGGCTCCAGACACCTCTACAGCTTTGACTCCTGCTGATCTAGGTGAAAACTTTGAAAATTCTCGTCCACTTTCTCCAAGGTCTCAACTTTTTAATATTAATGTTTCAATACCTCATGGAAAGCTAATTGCCATTGTTGGTTCCGTAAGGTCTGGCAAATCTTCATTATTGACAGCTCTGGTTGGTGAAATGAAAAAAATTAAAGGGGAGGTCTTATTTGGAGGAAATGTTGGGTATTGTCCTCAAAGTGCGTGGATTCAAAACGCTACACTTAGGGACAATATTACTTTTGGATTACCTTTTGATGAAGAAAAGTATCGACAAGTGATTAAAGATTGTTGCCTAGAACAAGATTTAAAAACATTGCCTAATGGTGACTTGACCGAAATTGGAGAGAAAGGAATTAATTTATCTGGAGGGTACGCTATTTTATTAATTATATATATTAACAAAACATAAAGTTTTAAAAAAATTCGATTTTAATTCTTTAGACAAAAGCAACGTGTCAACATTGCAAGAGCTGTGTACTATAATGCAGATATCGTATTATTAGATGATCCATTATCGGCAGTTGATGCACATGTTGGCAAATACATATTCACAAACTGTATTCAAGGTGCACTTGCCAAAAAAACGCGTTTATTTGTTACACAACATTTACATTATCTGCCACAAGTCGACTGTGTAATATATATGGAAAACGGCAAAATTGCTGAACAAGGAACTTATGAAGAATTAATGAATAATGGGAAATCATTTTCGAAATTGATTGCTAAATATGGTGAAACCAAAAATGAATATGAAATAAAAAATAATGAAGAATCAATATTGAAAGAAAAAGATAAGACATTTTATTTGCCTAAGGAGTTAATGTCAACAGAAGAACAATACAGAGGGGCAGTAAATAATGAAATATATTTGGCATATCTTAAGAATGCGGGTGGATTGTTATCAATACTAATCATTATTTTCTTGCTTGTTATGATGCAAGGAACAAATATTGCGTATGTTTTTACCATATTAATACTTTAATATTCTTACACAATCTCATGCATAATCGAGAAAATCGCTAAACTTATGACTGACTACTTTTTAGAAATAATTTTTGGCTTTCGTTTTGGTCTAGCAACACGTTTGACCTTCCAATAGGACTGTATGTATGTATCTTTAAAGTTATGAAATCTCAAATTGCAGTATAATCAGGCATAACTAATTTATTTATATTTTTTAATCTGCACTAATAGATGGGTGTTTATTGCGCATGGGGAGCCATTCAAGGGATTTTTAGTATTTTATGTGGTGTTGCATTCGCATACAGCGGTGTCAAAGCAGCCAAAAGACTACATAATAATGCGATTAAACGTGTATTAAGAGCACCAATAAGTTTTTTTGATACCACTCCTTTAGGAAGAATTATTAATCGGTAGTTGCCTTATCTAAACGTTAGTGATGGGTCCCAAAACACATTCTCAGGTTGAAAGGTTTTGGATTTCGGCTATAACTGCAAAACCTTAAACCAGTTCTGAAATCCCAAACTAATGCAATAATTCAAACTGACGTCGAAATCCAAACTGGATTCGAAATCTTGAATTCCCAACCACTGAAATCCAACTACTGTCAAAATTCCAAACTAATATTAAAATCACAAACTAATGCCGGAATAACATATATAAAATTTTACATATTTTTATATAGTCTGGAATTTGACATTAGATTAGGATTCTGGTATAGTTCCCGTAAAGATGTTTAGGGTCCAAACCATGTGATAATTAGCATCACATTGGTTTTAACAGTTTTAATCAATAGCTAAAACTATGTGATGCTAATAAGCACGTGGTTTGAGCGGCACTATAGATTTGCATTGGTTTCATCAGTTTGAGATTTGATTCAGTTTGGCTATTCAGATTCAGTTTGGGATTTTGAGTTTTAGTTTAGGATTATAATTTGAGATTTAGGCAAAATATCTTATCAAAACTAGTGCATATTATAACCTAATCCTAAAGGGTTTAGAAAGTTTGGTTTCGGGACCCATCTTTGCTAAATATCTTATTTTTAATATTTTCTGATCCAAATTCATTTAATAATCAGATTCAGTAAAGACGTTGACACATGCGACAGTTTACTTTCTGAATTATATCGAATTTTTTTTATAACCTTTTCGAGTGCTATTGGAACTTTTATTCTAATCGAAGTGGTGTTTAAGTGGTTTATTATTCCGTTGGTTCCTTTGGCCATACTTTATTATTTAGCGGCTCTTTTTTATCGGGCATCTAATCGCGAGTTAAAGCGTAATAAATTGTTATCATCACGTCTAATAATAATAATAATAAATAAATAAATATACGTTCAACCCTTTTTTCCATTATTACAGGTCTTGGTTCAGTATTAAGATCTTCGTTATATGCTCATTTTTCCGAGACACTTACAGGGCTGCCGATTATTCGCGCCTATCGTGAACAAGAAAGATTTTTGAGGTTTTTAAAATATAATATTTTATTAGTTTTTATAATTATTTTAACGGGTGGTGCGCATTTCGCCGACAATCACTTTACCGACAGCTTAGTTCACCGACAATTAATTAACCGACAAGTTC